CTTTGCTGCAGCAGCAGCCTCTGGGAAAGGGCCTTTGGATTTTGGCAGCTCAGCCAAAGTCTTTCCTTTGGGCAGACAGCCCCTCTCTCTTGGAGCCCCTTCACTTGGCCTGGGTTGGGGGGACCCACCATCTCTCTCCTCCCTAGGTGCTCTCTGCTTTGATGAGTTCCCTTCAGAAACTCACCTCAGGCTTTTCTAGCTTGGGATACAGGAGGGTGGATAAAGGAGCAGTCTAGCTGCCTGCCAGCAAGATACACAGGGAGGTGTCTGCACTTGCAGACAGAATAGGGGTCTCGTCCTTAGCTGTTGTCTGAAACAACAGAAAATGCTCCATTGCACAGGCTGCTGCTTTTAGAGGAAACCAAAGTAAGACCTTGAGTCAGCCAGCATCCTCTCAGGAAACAAAGGGTGAACTCAGCTGTTTTGGGTTTTGTTTTTTTTTTTTTCTTCAGAGAATTTAATGAAGGGACTATTTACTTGGGTGTAAACATTAAGGAAAGCAACATGGGGCATTGAGACATCCTGGGACTAGCAAGGATGACAGCCCTCATCACCCCAGCCTGAGGGGAAAGGGGAGGACACAGGGTTACTGGAGCCAGTGAAGGAGATTATAGCAGGAGAGGTCATCAGCAGGATGGCAGTGGGGGACAGGGGGTGCAGCTACAGCCAAAACTGCAGTGCCCATCAGGACAGGAGCCAGGAGGAAATACTTCAACCTCTCTCCTCTCCTATCTCCTGCTGGTGTCTCCCGTTAGCCAAACCCAGCTGGAAGCCAGGGGCCATGGAAACCCAGCAATCCCCTCCCTACAGGGCAGCTCCCAGGATCAGAGAACGCAGAGAACAAGCAACACAGGCCTAACCCAGGGGCAGGAGCCACACCAACTTGAGCAAATATCCTACGATATTCCAGCATATGTTACAATGAATATTATAGAGGGTATTTAGTGTAGAATTTCCGGACACCTGCAGCGACTTCCCCTCCTAATCTCACACTTGTTTTCTGTATTATAGTCAGGGATGCCTCTCTCGCTGCATCAGTCCAGTTTCCATCAAGAAACACTCAGATTCAGACAATTTGAGTAGCATTTAATAAAAGGACTATTTGTTGAGGTGTGAGCAGGAGATGGCCCCTATCTCTGGGCTGGTAATACCAGGGTTGTCAACACCCCTAGACCTGAAGGGGCCAGAGGAGGAAGGAGTTGCCCATAGTGAGTCAGGGGCTGTATGGAGATGGCTGCCTGACAGGACTTGAGGTTGCTGGCTGAGGAACGAAGCCAGCCTGTGGTCTACAAGGAGGGGAATGAATACTCCAACTTTATTCTCCTTCCCGCTGAATCCTGCTAAGCTCCTCATTGGCTGGACCCAATCAGTAACCAGAGGGTAAGAGTGGCCTCCCAGGGTCCAGGGCAGTACAGAGAAAAGTGGGGAGGCAAATGAAAGGTGTCCAACTGCCCTCTCTTGCCAAGGGGTGGGTAAAATAATCCAAGCAAGGCCAGTGGGATGGGTCCTCCCCACTCCTGGAATCTGGCAGACAGACAAAGCCATCCCTGTGCATTGAGCAGCATCGCCCCGGCACTGTCCCACCACAGGACGCCCACTGAGGGCCTGCTTTCCAGAGCCCAGGGCAGCTCAGCTCCCACCCATCCCCAGTCTAGACTCCCAGCAAAGCCTCCCAACAAAGTCGGAGTCAGTGTCTGTTGTTGGCCACGACAGAATCCAGACACAAACATCTTCGTGCATGTGATTTACGGTCTCTTTCAAAAACGTTAACAGGCAGAGCAGACTGATCACCGGGAGGGCTGAGAACCAAGCTCAGGGCTTTGCAGCCTGAGCCTAAGCCAGTGTCACTCAGCACTGTGCTTGCCAAGCCACCACCAACCACCCAGAGACACTAGGACCCATACAGCACTGGGGTCACCATCACCCCAGGAATGCATTCTTCCTGCTTCTGCTTCTCAAATCACTTTCTCCCAAAATGAAGCCCGGGACCGTGCATTTCATCAGCTAAACCAAGGCCACAGGCCTTCAATCAAACTGCAAGGGAGCCTGGAAATGTGAACACCCAGCATTCTAGTTAGGAGAGGAACACCCCAAACATGGGAAGGGTTTCCCATGCTGGGCAGCCAACAAGTAATGTCCCCCAACTATATCTGTAGCCTCTTCAACATGTCAGAGTATTTCCTCTAGACAACATCTTTGAAGGATTACCGACTCTGGGTATGTTATTGCCAAATTTCTTTCCCACAAAAGTTAAACTAATTTCCAGCCACATCCGATGAACAGAGTGCCTGCTTTGCTGCACCCACCCACATTACTAAATTTTTAAAGTAAAAACTAGTTGGCAAAATGTAATTGATACCTCATATCTTCATTCTCTCATTCTCTCTTTTTTAGGGGGAGGGGGAGTATCTATGTTTGTTCATTAGTGGTATTCTCCAGAAGTCTTCAATACTTGACTTTGGATACATTTTATTTGTTTTGATGACTGATTTTTTTCATTATATTCCTTTTTATAGACTTGTGTTAAAATTAGCTGGCATTTGCTGAAAGAAGAGATCAGGATTAGATTCAGCTGTGTATAACAGGAAAAAAAAAGAAAGAAAGAAACTTAAAATACATAGAAGTTTCTTTCTCTCCTGTGTAACAAAAGGCATAGAGGAGGGCAGTCCAGGGCTGGTTTTGAACCTACTCCACAAAGTCATGAGAGGCTTTGCCCAGGCCCAGGGCAGTACAGAGAAAAGAGTGAGGCAAACGAAAGGTGTCCAACTGTCCTCCTCTGCCGTCCCAATGAGGCCTCATCCCCACTGTCCAAGGTGGCAGCTGGAGCTCCAGCCATCACATCCCACAGGACAGAGAGCAGGCTGAAAGACAAGCCACCTACCTTTACAACACAACTGTTGGCATCTTATTGGACAAAATTCAGGTGTGTGACCTCACCTAGTTACAATGAGTTCAGATAAAAATCAGGATCTTACTACCGAGGACTAAGGGAAGAATGAGTATTGAGGGCCAGCCAACTGTCTCCTCCACAGGCAGGGATACAAGCTGTGTTGAAGACAACCCATTCATAGGAGAAACATGATGTTTATGATGACGATGATAGCTAATATTTATTTACTAAATATTTGCCAATTGTGGCCACTGCTCTAGGAACTTGATATGATTACTTAATCCTTACCACACCCCTATGAATAGATACTATGACTATCCTCATTTTACAGAGGAGGAAACCAGGCAGAGACCAGGTAACTTGTGCAAGGTCACCCAGCTAACAGGCAACAGGACCTAGATTTGAACTGAGGCAGCCTGGCACAAGACACAACTATGAACAGAGGCAATCACAGAACCAAGTCAAGGAGGCCAGCTGGGGCTTCTCCAAGGGACTTATCTATTGACTCAGGAGTGGAGATAGATGGGAACTAAGCCAGAGCTGCCTCAACCCTTTGCCTTTGACTATTTCATCTGTTCATCCATTCAACAAACGTCCTTTTGTAACACATATTACATTTACAATTCACTGTCCAAAACCTGTGCTTTCCACTTCTTGTGGATACTCAGTAGCCAGCATAACCTATAGCCCACAGCACTCAAAAGTTATCTTTGAGCCCTGTAGTCCCAGCTACTTGGGAGATGAAGGTGGGAGGGTCACTTGAGGCCAGTTCAACATCAGCCTAGGCAACATAGGGAGATGCCTCATCCCTACAAAAAATTTAAAAATTAGTTGGGTGTGGTGGCATACCTGTAGTCCTAGCTCCTCAGGAGGCTGAGGTGGGAGATCACTTGAGCCCAGGAGCTTGAGGCTGCAGTAAGCTATAATTGCACCTGGGCAACAGAGCAAGGCCCCAACTCTAACATCTATTTATAGATATAGATACATGAGTAACTGTTCATGTACATATCAAACCTACTCTGTGCCAGGCTCTGTGATGGACCCTAAGCATGCAGAAATGAGACAGACCCTGCTCACTGGCCCTTATGGCCAAGAAAAGGAGGCAGATCAGTGGGCACCACAGAACAGCACAAAGAAGTGGGTGAGAAGTCTGGAGTGGCTGCACCATAGTTTGTGAGTCACAGAAATAAGGGACAAGGTCCTCAAGGTAGGCCAGAGACAGGCTTGAAATTCCTTTCATGTCCAAGGTGAAAAACCTAGCCTCAGCCCTTAGACAATAAGAAGCCATGAGGCTTACGCAGGGTGACATAATCCAAGAGGCCATCTAGAACAACTCTCCTGGTGGTGTGCCAAGGATGGGAAGACAGAGGCCAGAAGCAGGCAGATTCAGATGAAGTGGAGTCTGGGAGGTGTGGGAGCCAAAGTGAAGGGTTCAGAAGAAGTAAGGAGGGGTGGAGTGAGGAGAAACAAAAGAGGTCCCATACATGGTGTATGTGAGCCAGACAGATGGGCCAGGGAACTGTGGGAGGGGAAAAGAGCAGGCCTGAGATGGCCAGAGTGAGGGAGGGCAGGCTGTGGAGTGGGGCTGGAAAGGGGCCCTGTCTTGAGCTGGGGCAGACAGAGCAGTTGGAAGCCAGCAGTCTTGTGCTCATGGCTCAGAAATGTCCCAGGCCTGCCAGGAGACTGCTGCCTCTGTCCCCCCACCAACCCCAGCCAGGCTCCCACATCAGGAGCTCTGAAGCTGTCCCCTCAGGCTTCTGCTCCCCCAGAGCAGGCCTCCCCTCCTCAGAAGCCAGGCATATGACATCCCCACTCTCCCTCAGCCCTCCCCAATGGCTGATGAAACACAGGCAAGGGAAGGGGGAGAGAATAAACAGACATCTGCAGGGGGAGCCGATCAGAAAGCAGGGGGCAGGCTAGGGCTGCCTGGGGGTGCCAGGGGGCCCACAGGTCCAGCTGGGCGGGTGGTGGATGGAGTGGGATCCAGGGAACAGTGGAGCCAGCAGGGAGTTAACGTCTGCAGTGCTTTGCCCGACAGGCTTAATGAGGCACAGGTGGTCCCCTGGCTCCGGCTCCTCCTCCCAGCCCCCTGATAGTGTAAGCTGATGCTGGTTGTCTGGGGTGGGGAGAGAGGGGTTCTGCAGCTACGGGATGGGGGGCGGGGCTGGGGCGGCTGGCGAGGGCTCAGCACATAACTCTGGGCGGTTACAGTCTAGGGCTGCAGACACCCAGCCACTCTGAGCAGAACTGACAGCATGAAGGTACGGGGCCCAGGGTGGGGGGACTCAATAGCATTGGAGGATTGAGCCCACTCCAGAGACCCTTGGCCAGAGGGGATTATGAAGGCACAAGGAGTTCTCTATGAGGGTATATAGCCTATCCCAGAGAGTGGGATTACTTGGGAGGGGAAAGAGGGGCCAAAGGGCAGGAGAGGGATTCAGGCAAGAGCAGCATGGGCACGCATGGTGGGGGCAAATGCAGAGAACAGGGGGTCTGTGGGGCTGGGAAGGGGCTGCGCTGACCATGTGCCCATTGCCAGGCCCTCCTGGCCCTGCCGCTGCTGCTGCTTCTCTCCACATCCCCGTGTGCCCCCCAGGTCTCCGGGATCCGCGGAGATGGTAAGCAGCCCCACATTCAGATGTAGCCTGGCCCACAGGTTGGGTGAGGAGAAGCTGGACTGTCAGAACAGACTGTCAGGGCAGAGTCCCAGCTCTGCAGGACTCAGGTTCCTCCTTCACAAAATGGGGCAGATGGATGACATGAGCATTATTCATTCCCCTTGAAGAAATCTTCCCTAACACCTTGTGACAAAGTCCCCCAGCCCCAGGGACTGAGGCAAACCCTGGGGTGTTGAGGTGTCAATGATGCCTTAGTCCCACTCTCCTCACTGGGACTCTCCCCATGTCCCCACCCCCAGCTCTGGAGAGGTCTTGCTTCCAGCAACCCCTGGACTGTGATGACATCTATGCCCAGGGCTACCGGTCAGATGGCGTGTACCTCATCTACCCCTCGGGCCCCAGCGTGCCTGTGCCCGTCTTCTGTGACATGACCACTGAGGGCGGGAAGTGGACGGTGAGTGGGAGCTCTGACCAGAAGTCAGAGCTGGTTCTAATCCCAGCCCTGTGACCCTGGGCTTCACCTCTGTGAACCTGTTTCTTCATCTTTAAAATGGGGATAATTATACCCACAGCACAGCTTCTAAGCGGCTGCCAACACTTAATTCTAAGGCCTAAGTTAGGTTTTTTATTTTTGTTTGTTTGAGATGGAGTCTCGCTTTGTTGCCAGGCCTGAGTGCAGTGGCTCGATCTCAGCTCACTGCTGCCACCTCTGCCTCCCGGGTTCAAACGATTCTCCTGCCTTAGCCTCCCAAGTAGCTGGAATTACAGGCATGCACCACCATGCCCAGCTAATTTTTGTATTTTTAGTAGAGATGGGGTTTCACCATGTTGGCCAGACTGGCCTTGAACTCCTGACCTCAGGTGATCCACCTGCTTTGGCCTCCCAAAGTGCTGGGATAACAGGTGTGAACCATCGCGCCTGGCCGAGGTAGGTTAATGCATATAACCCTCACAATAATCCTGGGAAGCAGGTGACTCCCTGTTCTACCACAGTGCATTTAGTGAGAACTAAAGCCCAGACAGGTGAAGTAACTTGCCCAGGCCCCACAGCTAGACACTCGAACTCCAGAACACTCTCCTGTTAGCCTTTCCTGCCTCTATACAAAACCGGGAGGGAAGAGCCCAGGTGGGTGCTGGCAGCTGCTCCATTGGGGCCCGGTGCCAATGTGGACCTTATTTTAGCAACCCCATTCCCACTACCCATGCCTGCAACTCAGTCCTTTAACAAACTGGCCACAGCATCACAGGGTCCATGCTCGAGGTGGGCAGGGCAGGATCAGAACCCTACCCACCGGACCCTTAATGGTCCAGTCTCATCTTCTCTGCTCCAGGTTTTCCAGAAGAGATTCAATGGCTCAGTGAGTTTCTTCCGGGGCTGGAATGACTACAAGCTGGGCTTCGGCCGTGCTGACGGAGAGTACTGGCTGGGTAAGGCAGGGACCAGGTGGGCTGAGGGGCTGCCCCCGGTCCAGGTCCTTTTTAGCAGCTGCCCCTCCTCCCCAGGGCTGCAGAACATGCATCTCCTGACGCTGAAGCAGAAGTATGAGCTGCGAGTGGACTTGGAGGACTTTGAGAACAACACAGCCTATGCCAAGTACGCTGACTTCTCCATCTCCCCAAACGCAGTCAGCGCAGAGGAGGATGGCTACACCCTCTATGTGGCAGGCTTCGAGGACGGCGGGGCAGGTATACCCTCCTGTCAGCTTTAGGAGGGGCTGTGATGGTTAAGAACACCTTCAAGGCCCTCCTTCAAACCCTCTGGATGGGCCACAGCTGGCTCCAAACCAGCTCAACCGGCTTGGGCCTCAGCCCTGGGGAGCCGCCATCCTGGCCCTGCTCCAGGCAACTCTGGCGGAACAGCTGTTTCTTTTCATTGCAGAAGCACATCTACCCAACATCTGGCTCAGGGAGGGTGCCCCTAACCTGCCAGGCTGCCACATGATGTCTCTCACAGTCGTCACTGTCACCCTCTCCTGGCCAGCTCGGAGCTCAGTTCCCTCCCTTAGCAGCCCCATCCCTTCTCCCCTCTTCCAGGTGACTCCCTATCCTACCACAGTGGCCAGAAGTTCTCTACCTTTGACCGGGACCAGGACCTCTTTGTGCAGAATTGTGCAGCTCTCTCCTCAGGAGCCTTCTGGTTCCGCAGCTGCCACTTTGCCAACCTCAATGGCTTCTACCTAGGTGGCTCCCACCTGTCTTATGCCAATGGCATCAACTGGGCCCAGTGGAAAGGCTTCTACTACTCTCTCAAGCGCACAGAGATGAAAATCCGCCGGGCCTGAGGGGCTGGACCCCTCCCCTGTACACCCATGGTCTCCATGAGTGCTCCCTCTGCTGCCCCTGATGCATGCTTCTGCTGCTTCCCAAGCACCAACTCCTTACAGGGGACTTTGTGGCTCTCAGCCATGCCTCATCCCTGTCACACACCCAGGGCGTCCATTCCTAAGCCAGGTCCAGCTCCCTTGCACCTGAAGTTATGCTGCCAGCAGCTCCCCAGGCCTTTTCCGAGCAGCACAGGGTTCTAGCCTGGACCTGGATGGGCTCCACGACAGAGTTGCCTCCACCCTGTCCCAACAGCTGACAGCCAGGAGCCACCCTCCCAGCTGCAGGCCTTGGTGTTCCACCTTGCCCTTCTTCCTCACTGTGGACCTGTCTGGGTCACCACAGTGTGCTAGGTGAGTGGTGCAGAGTAAACAGAGTGAACAGTGCATTCCAGGCCACAGCCCAGCAGTCCTCTGGCTGCTCTTAAACCATGTCCCATCTTTAGCCTCCCTACCACCAACTTACTCCCTTGTGGTGAGCACCGTGGACCCCCAGCCCACAGCACTATCATACTCAGCTTCCCCTGATGGCCCATCCCAGCCCCTGAAACTCTATGCCAAGGCCACAGCTACTGCATACCACCCTGAAACAGTCACAGCCAAGGTAGGCATGCATATGAGGCCTTCCCCACACCCTCTGGGGGTTGAGGTTTAGCAACATGAGTAGGCAGAGGACAAACTGCAGGGTTGGGAGTCGGTAGGGACTGAAGGGCTCAATAAACCTTCAGAACCTGAATTAACTGGCTTCGTGCACACAAACATATTTGCTTAGCCCCGAAATGTAGGCACCTGGCTCCTCCTTGCTCCCCTACTGATGGTGTCTTACCCCAAACCCCAAAAATTACACCTGGAGTCAGACGCAGAAGGGAACCTTGTATTTCACAGGCCTCATTTTGATGGCAAAAAGACAGTGTAATAATAACATAATAATAATAAAAATATAATACTGAAAAGGATTGTTCAGGGGGAGTCGGGATCTCCCGATCCTGTCATGGCTCGGTGGTGGCTCAGGTGGCTGCTTAAGGCTGAAAGGTGGGTCTGAGAAGAACCTGCAGAATAATCCAAGCTGAGCCTCACCTGCTGGGTCCAGAGCTAAAGCCTCTGAGAATGCTCCCATGGATCCTGGAACTAGGTCCACTATAGCAGCAAGGCACAGGCTGTGGGCCTCAGGGGTCCTGGAGGTCAGGCAGGTCAGCCAGTAGCATTGGGGAGTCCATCTGGATCTCACGCTGCAGGGACTCAATATCGGCAGGGTTCATACCATGGCCTTCGAGCCAGTCAGCAAGCAGGGAGGCTGAGAGTGAGGCTGAATCTGCCTGGCTGCAGGGGAAGGGATGGGAGTGGTGCTATTAGCCTAGGCTGGAGCCTCACCCATCCCACAGGTGCAGGCCTCCTGCACCAGGAACCTCTCCCCACAGCCCCATTCTAGGAGCTCAGTCCAGCCACCTTACCCATCCTGTGGCCCATCAGCCAAGCCCATGTCGAAAGACTGGTTTAAAAATTCCTCCAGGTCAAAACCAACACCGTAGCCAGCCCCACTGCCCTTTGGTGTGCCTGAGAACACAGGGGGCAGGGGGTCCTCCACCTGCAAGGAATGATAGGTTACAATGCAGGCAGACTGAGTCTGCAGGGCACCCCATCCCAGTGCTGCTGACTACTCCACCTGGATACCTAGGAGTGCTAACACCAGTCTCAGCAGTCAGTGCCAGGCACTTTCCAGGCCATATCTAACTTGTCTCCTAACAACATTTTCATTGGCATTATGCTCCTTCTGTGAGCCAGAAGGCATATTCAGGGATAAAGCGCCATGTGCTGCTCAGTTTTTGTGGAATAAGGACCACTTCCTGAACCCATTTTCCTTTGGCCCAGATCCAGGTGTCTCCATGGCCTGGGCCTCCCTCTCACCTGTGACTTAGATAGCTGCTGGGTCACCAGGTTGACATCAGGTGACTCTGACATGGAAGACTGAGGGGCTCCCCCTCCATCTGGAGGTGGCAGGCCAGATGGGAAGTAAGGCAAAACTCCTGGGGTGCTGGAGCCAGGCAACCCAGGGGGCGGCACAAGTGACTGGGGAGCCAGGAGGCTGGTAGAAGTGGCAACCTGGAGTGATGCAGGGACAGAGATAGGTCTAGGAAGGCCAGTGGGGTGGGGTGCAGGGCCAGGGGGTGGGCAGGCAGGCTGGGGTACAGGGCCAGAGGTGGAACCTGCAGGCTGTGATTGGGGGCCAGCGGGTAGGGCTATAGGGCCAGGGGGAGGGCTGGTAGGCTGGGCTGGGGTTGGCGTTGGTGCTGGGGCAGGGGTTAGCACAGAGGTGGGGGCTGGGGCTGGGGGCCGGGCCATTCGAGTCCAGCGTTCCAACAAGCTTCGGTCATTGTCACTGAGTACTAGTCCAGCCAGGGGGTCAGTGGAGGGGCCCCCAGAGGCTCCAGCCCCCCGTTCCTTTCGCTCTCGCTCCTGCCGCCGTTTCTCCCGCTCCTTGGCTCGCTCTTGCCGCCGCCGCCGCTTCTCCTCCCGCTCCCGCTGGCGCTCCTGGGCTGTCACTGGCTTCCGAGGCTCAGGAGCCTCCAGGGGTGCGCTGGGGCCATCTGCGGGGAAGTTGGGCAAGGAAGAAAGTAAAAGCCTGAAGCCTTGTCCATGTCCCAAGTTTCCCCTCTACCCACCCGACCTACCCACAAGGCACCTCTGAGCCGGCTCTGCAAGGACTTGAGCAGCGCAGCTTTGAGAGCAGCCTTAGTGTTGTCTGAGATGGCACCCTCTTTCTTCGGTGGGGCAGGCTCACTGGCTGCTGCGGGTGGCTGCAGGGTCAGATCAATGGTGTCAGGTGCAGGGCCGGGGCACGCTGGCAGGGCTGGTGGGGGAGACTCCATGACACAGTCCCCACTGGGAGCCCAGGGGCTAGGCATCTCAACATCTGGACAGCCAGGCTCACTAGCCACAGGCTGCAGAGAAGGCTGGAAGCGAATCTGTTGGCGGATGCCCTCGCGCCTTGCATGGAAGTCCTCAATCTCAGCCACAATGGCCTCTTTAATGCGCTCCCGAGTGAGGGCTTCTCGGTCAAAGGCAAAGTCAAAGGGCGGGGCACAATCAGGCTCATCATCAGGGTCATGGTACTTGGCTAGGAAGGGGTGGCGAAGGGCAGCAGCTGCTGAGATGCGGGCGCTGGGCTCAAAACGCAGCATGCGACCCAGCAGTGATAGGGCCTGGCGGTCGGCACCTGGATACACTGTCTCCCAGGGCACAGGCTGGCGTGGTGGCAAGCTCTGGATATAGGCCCGTACCCTCTCAGCCCCCACAGCCTGAATCACAGCTGGTGATGGGGTACCCAGAACCATCATGATGAGCTGTAGCTGGTGTACGTAGTTTTTGCCCGGGAAGAGCTGGCGCCGGGCTAGCATCTCACCAAAGATGCAGCCCACAGACCAGAGGTCAATAGCCTGTGTGTACTCATGCAAAGAGAGCATGAGCTCGGGGGCACGGTACCAGCGAGTGGCCACATACTCAGTCATGAAGTACTGATGTTCAGCGGGTGAGGTACACAGGCCACGAGCCATACCAAAGTCACCAATCTTGAGCTCACAGTTCTCATTCACCAATAGGTTGGAGGGCTTGAGGTCACGGTGGATGACCTGAGCCGAGTGCATGTACTTCAGGCCCCGCAGCAGTTGGTACAGGAAGTACCGCACGTGTTCCAGCGTGAGGGGCTGTGAGGAGTGGATGATCTGATGCAGGTCACTCTCCATCAGGTCCAGGACCACATAGCTGGAAGGGGAAGGAAGGGAGAGAAGCATGGGTTGGCCTGACCACAGTCCAGGGACAAGCCCCATCCTCACCACACCCTTCCGATTCCAGGCAGATAACAGCCTTACCCTGGGACCCCGTAGGGGTGACGGCATGGTATGGAGGAAGAGCATCACGTTTTAGATTCTCTATGACTTTTCCATGAACTTGGTTAAATCACTTTTGTCTCCAGACCTAGTTTCCCCCATCAGATAAAAATGGGGTTGGACTACACCAGGGCTGGCCAATAGGTTTCCTTTTGGGGCTATCTCCATTGTTTGGTAGTGGCAGCTTGAAGAACTATGATGAAAACTGACCAGGCTTGTCCACTGTCTGTAGGAAAGTGTTCTGCGATTGATTAGTGAAGTCAGCTATGGGAATAGGAGGGTGTAGACATGGTAGGAATGTCCTACATTTGCCATCCTATACACTAAGATTCTATAAAATTGAAAAATCATCTGTACTCTTCTTAAGGAATAAGTTGTCCCTGGCAACACTCTAAAGGGGAAGGGTCCTAGAATAGCGGGAATTTTCCCAGCCTGCTTCACATTAGGTTCAGCTGCCTTTCTGGAACTTCAGCAATATGGTTGCAGCCTTCAGAAAAGGTCCCAAGTCTGGCTCCCTCTCCCATCCCGCTTCTTACACAGATTTGAATTCGCCGTAGGGCACAGTGGGCCTCAGGATGTCCTTGATGGCGATGATGTTGTCATGCTTGAAGTGTTTGAGGATCTTCAGCTCCCTGAGGGTCCGCTTGGCATTGGTCACCACATCGAAAGCATTAGGGATCTTCTTGATGGCCACCTGCTGGCCTGAGGAGCAGGGAACAGGGACATACCAGAGAGTACCTTGGAGAAACTGCAGAGTCGAACCCAGCTCCTATCAACACCTCCCTTTTAGGATACAAATTAACAACAGCTACCAAGTACTGGGTACATACCATGTGCCAAGCCCTGGGCTAAGCAGGTTATCTACGTTATTAAACGTTACCTTCACAACTTCCCTACGGGGCAGGTCCCAAAAGGTCAACGTGGCTTAGTAACTTGTTGGAGGCTGCGCGGCTGCCCAGTGGTGGAGTCCAGCCTCTGATGCCTACACCCTCTCCATCTCAGACCTCACCCATCCCACCACCGGTTCCTTGTGCCAGTGTCTGGCTCCAGAACACATTTCTCTTCTAGACACAAAGGACTGGCTCTCCATTTTGGTCTAACTGGGACTGTCATTTTTCTAAGGAGGCAGTAGGTAGGCAGGATGGCAAAACCACCAGGCCAGGGTTTCGGAGAATCGAGCCTCCTCAGAGGCTGGCACACGGAGGGCCCTGGTCAGTGTGTGTTGATTGGAGCCAGAACTCGCACCCTGCTTTCTTTCCCGGCTGTGTGGGACGGGCCGTTTTCCCACTCCCTGCAACGCCGCCAAATCTGGGGGTCGACGGCTCAGGAAGCTCACCGGTGAGGCGGCGGCGAGCGGAGGACACCACTCCGTAGGCCCCGTTGCCTATAGTCTCAATGATCTCGTACTCGTCGCCCACGTCAAAGGTCACATCGAAGGAGCGGGCTTTAAGCAGTGCCAGGTTCTTGGCCGCTACAGAGGCAGCAGTGTGGGCGGGTTCGCCCTTCACGGGCCCGGGGGGCTCCGCAGAGCCGTCCTCGCTGTCTTCCTCCTTCAGGAGCTCGGCCATGGTGTCTGTGTGGAGATGCGGGTGAGGAGGGGCCCGCCTCCCGTAGGCCTCAGTGTCCCCTCTGCGGGCTGGGGAGCAGGACCAGGGAACTTTCCAGTTCCCTAAACCGACGGGAGCCGGAAGCGCGCGCCTGGTTCGGGGCAGACCACGCTACCCCGGGGGTCGGAGGCCAGAGCCGGGGCCCCGCCAGGTTCAGGGGAGGGGAAAGCGAGGCGCTGGCCAGGAAGAAAGGGAGGGGCGGGGCACCTGGGTTTACTCGGGGCCGCACTCACCCCCGCGCCTCCTCAGGGCTTTCAGAGGTCCCGAGGCTCTCCGGCCTCCCGTCCCCAGCGCGGGGGTCTCCGAGGGTGGCCAGCTTACTTGTTCAGGGGCCGCCACCACCACCTCAGCGTCGAGAGCTGCCCTGCCCGTCCCCCTCCGCCCCGCCTCCCAAGACCACGCTCCCTCTAGCTTCTGGCCAATCGCTGAGCTACTTCTGCGGAGAGTCCTGTCCCTTCTACCTGCTGCGTCCAATCAGAGCCCACCGGCCGAGGAAGCCACGCCTGGCGCGCGCCGCTATCCAGCTAACAGGCGGGAGACGCCCAAAGGGTGCCGGGCACTTCGCAGGGTGTGCTCCCCGCCCGGCACTGCCTTCAGACGCATGCGCACTGGCAGCCAGGCGCCAAGTGAATGGAAGGAACGCCCCTGCACGTAACGCGCGCGTCCCCATCTAGCACTCGACCTCGTCCGGCCAATCACAGCTAGTCCCGTGAGCTCAGGGAACGGCAGGTCTCTCTGGAAGCCTGAGATGCCCGGGACTGGCACTGTTACCTTGGCTACTGGCTCCCGAAGTCACCCTCTTTGGGGTGCACCTTCCCTTATCAGTCCCCACCGCCCAGGGAATTGTGCCCACCATTTTCTCGGTCCCAGGAGCTCTGAGAATGTATCATCCCCGGTAAAGGGGCCCGTCACGGCCAACCACAGAGATCCCGGTCCTCCGGGATTCCAGAGCGTCCGACCGAAACGTCCGCTGACTTCCGGTGGCTGAACCTCTCCGCAGCTTCCGGCCAAGTTGGACGGCGCCTCGCGGTTTCTGGGCCTCCAGGCATGTTTCCTCTGTTCGTTTGTTGGTCCCGTGATTGCTGTGCTTTGGGCTGCTTCGGAGTTAACCGAGACGGCCGCCCAGCCTCTGTCCCTCTTCGGAGTCGCGAGTCGGCGGAGTCCACGCTGGAAACCAGCTGCCCCGACCCACCCCAGAGTTCGATAGTTGATTCGTTCACTTACGTAGCAAATATGTATCGGGCACCACTCCTCTAAGGCTTAGTGCCGGGGGACGCGGAGGAGGGGGAGAAGGTGGACATGGCGGATAGTGTGAACTGAGAGGAAAAGTTTTCTAAAGAGCCTGAAGTAGGGCTGAAAAGTGAGGAATCTTGGTTTCACTTCCTAGGCAGTTTCTAGAAAAAAGCAATACAAATATTCATACCTCCCCTTTCGTGTACAAAATGTAGCATATTATACGCTTTTCCTGTTGATCATTCCATACCAAAAACTGGAACGGTCCCTCAGCTTTAAACAACTTTTAGCCACGTACCATAAAACCCTTTTATAGTGTACAATTCAGTGTTTTTTGCTGTATTCACAGTTGAGCAGCCATCATCACTGCCTAATTTTAGGTGGAGTGGTTTATAAAACATCTTCATCGCCCCTACAAGAAACCTATGTAAACCAAAAAGTATCTGAGACAAGTGTAAAGTCAATTTAGAAAGTTTATTTTGTCAAAGTTAAGGACATGGTGGTAACATAGTCTCATGTGCCCAAGGTAGTCAGGGCACAGCCCGCCTTTATACATTTTAGGAAGACATAATACACAAATCAATACATTTTGACGTTGATTTTATGAGCTTATTGGCCATTTGTCTCCTTTGGGGAAATGTCTGTTCAATGTCTATTCTGGAACGGCTGGACAACTCGAAGGGGAGGGACTTCCAAGTCACAGGTAGATTTAAAGATATCATTAGGGTTATTATCTATAGAAAGGAATATCTGGGTTATAATATGGGGTTGTGGAGACCTAGGATTTTTTTTCTTATTTTTTTTGAGAGGGATTCTCGCTTTGTCACCCAGGCTGAAGTGCAGTGGGGCCATCTTGGCTCACTGCAACCTCTGCCTCCTGGGTTCAAGCGATTCTCCTGCCTCAGCCTCCTAAGTAGCTGGGATTACAGGCATGCGCCACCACACCCGGCTAATTTAGTAGAGACGGGGTTTCACCTTGTTGGCCAAGCTGGTCTCGAACTCCTGACCTCAGGTGATCCACTGGCCTCGGCCTCCCAAAGTGCTGGGATTACAGGCGTGAGCCACTGCACCCAGTCAGGAGACCTAGGTTTTATTATGCAGTTGAAGCCTCCAAGTAGCAGGCTGTGGAGAGAATAGACAAATGTTTCTTATGAGACTTAAGGTCTGTGTTGATGGTAATGTTGGAGGGTGTAATCAGGTGTGTCCAACTCCCACCTCCCATCGTGGCCTGAACCAGTCGTTCAGGTTAAAAAATTTTTTTTTTTGAGACGGAGTTTCTCTCCTGTTACCCAGGCTGGAGTGCAATGGCGCGATCTCGGCTCACTGCAACCTCCGCCTCCTGGGTTCAAGCAATTCTCCTGCCTCAGCCTCCCGACTACAGGCGTGCGACACCATGCCCAGCTAATTTTTTGTATTTTTCGTAGAGACGGGGTTTCACCATGTTGACCAGGATGGTCTCGATCTCTTGACCTTGTGATCCACCCGCCTCAGCCTCCCAATTTCAGGTTAAATTTTAGGATGCGCTGGCCAAGGAAGGAGTCCATTCAGATACTTGAAAAGGGCGTTCGTATTTTATTTTTGGTTTACACCCATTAACGGTCACTCATTACTTTTTCACCAGAGCCTTTGCAACCACTGAACTTCTTTCTGTCTCTATGGACTTGCCTATTGTGGACACTCTATACTAATGGAATCATACACTATGTAGTCTTTTGTGTTTGGCTTATTTCCCTTAGCATAAAGTCCATGTTGTCATATTAGCCATTATTTTTATGGCCAAATATATTCCATCGTTTGGATATACCATATTTTGTTTATCCATCCATCAGTTTTGAACATTTGAATTGTTTCCACTTTTTGGCTGTTATGAATAATGCTTCTGAGAACATTTGTGTACAAGTTTTTATGTGGACATATGTTTTCATTTCTCTTCTGAGTGGGATTGCTGGGCCACACGGTAAACTATAAAGTTCTTGAGAAAGTGCCAAGCTGTTTTCTCCATCAGCTGCACCATTTTACAAACTCACCAGCAGTATTTAAGAGTTCTGATTTCTCCGCATCCTCATCAACACTTATTTTCATTGTTCTGTTCTTTTTTTTTTTTTTTCAGACTGAGTCTTGCTCTATGGAGTACATTGGTGAAATCTCAGCTCACTGCAACATCCACTCCCCAGGTTCAAGCAATTTTTCTGCCTCAGCTTCTCGAGTAGTTGGGATTACAAGTGCCTGCCACCACAGCCAGCTAATTTTTGTATTTTTAGTAGAGATAGGGTTTCACCATGTTGGCCAGGCTGGTCTCAAACTCCTGACCTCAAGTGATCTGCCTGCCTTGGCCTCCCAAGTATGGCTATAATTTTCTTTTTATTTTTAATTATAGCCATCCTACTGGGTGTGAAGTGGTATGTCATGGTAGTTTTGATTTGCATTTCCCTAATGACTAAGACTAAGGATGTTAAGCATGTTTTCAGGGCTTATTGGCCATTTGTCTCTTTTGGGTAAATGTCTGTTCAATGTCTATTCAAATCCTTTTTTTTTTTTTTTTTTTGAGACAGGGTTTCACTCCAGCCCAGGCTGGAGTGCAGTGGCAGGATCTTGGCTCACTGCAACCTCTGCCTCCCAGGCTCAAGTAGTGATTCTCCTGCCTCAGCCTCCCAAGTAGTTGGGACTACAGGCACACACCACTGCACCCAGCTAATTTTTGTATTTTTAGTAGAGACAGAGTCTCACTATGTTGGCCAGGCTAGTCTTGAACTCCTCAGCTCAAGTGATCTGCCCACGTTGGCCTCTCAAAGAGTTGGGATTTAAGCATGAGCCACCTCACTCAGCCCTTTGTCCATTTTTAAGTGGGTTACTTCACTTTTTAATATTCAGCTGTCAGAGTTCTTTATATATTTGGAATATAAGTCCCTTATCAGATGATTTACAGATATTTACAGATATTACTTTATCAGGTGATTTACAGATATTTACTTCCCATGATTTATAGATATTTACTTCCATTTTTAGGAAGATATTTACTTCCATCTTTTCACTTTTTTGATAACCTCCTCTGTTGCACAGAAGTTTTTAATTTTGATGAAGTTCAGTTATCTGTTTTGTCTTTTGTCACTTGTGCTATTGTCATATCTTAAAAAAAAAGCACTCATTTTTATAGCTGCATAACATACCTTTACAAATGTAATCTGTTTAACCAAGACCCCCAGGAAGACATTTAGATTAGTTCAGTTTTTTCACTATTGCAAACAATGCTGCAATACATTTTCTCGAACACATCATTTTGCACACAGCAAGTATATATGCAGGAAGAATACCAGAAGTGGGAGTGTCAAGTTAAAGAGTATTGTTCATATAATTTTAGTAGCTAATGTCAAATTTCTATCCTTAGAGATTGCACCAATTTAGACACCTACGAGCAGTATGAGAGAATGACTCACATGGTGCTTTTTAAAAGCCTGGAATTATTTGCTTGTCAAAAACGGGGAGATAGATATACCATAAGAATCCTGATTTTTGCTTTCTTTTGGAAAATCAAATCTATCAACATCAGATCAGCATTTCTACATAGCGATTGAGCTGTTACCCCGCCACTGAAAGAGCATGTGCTCTCTATTCACTGCAGTCCCTGCCACTGCCTAGCAGCCTCCCCAGCACAGGCCGAAAGTCAGTTGCCATTTATCACTGCATTTTCACAACTGTTTTCTACATCTTATTAAAAGCAGGAAAACAAAAGAGGCTGAGATGACATGCATTTTAAGAAAAGAAAGACCAAGTATATCTCTCTGGGGGAACAAAGACAATCCCATGTGTTATATACAGATATTCCACTCACTTGGCTCACATTTCCTGGATGGCCACTGTGGGCACTTGAGTTCAAGATTTCTGGGTTAGTTTACCGAAAGCCTCTGAACTAATCTAAGTGTTTCCTAGGATTTTTGAGTAGGCAAATGCCCTTCAGAGCTGCCTTCCTGAAAGATATTTCTGGCAGACATCATGGAGGGTGTACCTGAAGGCAGAACATGCCTTGATTAAGAGGTTTGTGGGGTTGGGCGTGGTGGCTCATGCCTGTAATCCCAGCACTTTGGGAGACCGAGGCGAGTAGATCACCTGAGGTCAGGAGTTCGAGACCAGCCTGACCAACATGGTGAAACCCTGTCTCTACTAAAAATGCAAAACTTAGCCAGATGTGTTGGCAGGTGCCTGTAATCCTAACTGTCCAGGAGGCTGAGGCAGGAGAATCACTTGAACCCAGGAAGTGGAGGCCACAGTGAACCAAAATCATACCACTGCACTCCAGCCTGGGTGACAGAGTGAGACTGTTTCTAAAAAAAAAAAGTTAACAAAGAAGTATATAAAGAAGTAAATGCAGGAGGTGTGATGGTGTCCTTTTCTAGTAGACAATGGGGACGTCAACAACATGAGGAACCAGGAAGAAGAGGGTGGGGGGTGCTGATGTGCTTTGAGGCTTTTAGTCATCTGTAACATGGTAATTATTATCTGTAATCCAAGTCCTGGAGACCTTCCTGAGCCGCAGAACCTTGACGCCCTTCACAGCAGTGGACATCCCTTTCTGTCAGTCCCCAGCATGGGTTCTAGGGCAGCTTCCCATTGGACAGGCTCAGCATGAGGGAGGTGGGTATGCTGATTGGCCAGACCTGAATCATCTGTCCACCTCTGGAAGTAAGGCAGGGAGTGTGGCTCAGCCAAACTCCTGAGACCATGTATGGATGAGAGCCATTTCCCCACAGGAAACCTGAGTCTTGAAACCTGATTGAGAGGGGAACCGCTCTGCTGATGATATTTCCTCCCCTCCAATTCCATGCTGCTAAGTTTTACGAAGCCACACTTTGGTTTCAGAAACACCTGGGTTTGAATCCAACTCCATCACAAGGCAGGGCAGTAGGTAGGCATCCTTTCTAGTCTGTGCTGTGTGCTGGGGTCATAGCTGAGAGCACAAGTCCCAGCCCTCTCTGATGAGGGAAATCTGTCACAGGCACCGAAATGGGAGGCCGGCCCTGAGGAGCTAAGAATTGGCCCTTTGCCCGGCATAGGAAGTCAGGAAGGGACCCTGGGAGTGACATGTAAGTCAGGACCTAACGGATGAGCATGTGGCAGCAGAGGGACAGTGTGGGCAAAGGACACAGAGCTGATGTGGGTGAGAGTGTGACATATCTGAAGGCCACAAGAAGGCCAGATGGAAGTGGCAGGAGGGAGGGGGTCACAGAGACATAGGGACTAGAAAGTTAGGCAGGGGTGAAGCCATGCAAGGCCCCAAGGCTGTGGAGGTAGCCAAGACTGACATCCCTGACCTCAAGCGCCTCATCTGTAAAGTGCGGATGTTTAGACCCACCTGGTTGCATTGTTTTATGGACTTGAGGAATTATATCTGCAGGCGCACCTGACACAGGGTCCAGCCCTTCACTGGAGCTGCAGCAGCCGCCCTTGTTAACACTGCCCCCACTCCGCCAAGCCCTGTGGTGTTCCAGCAGCATCTTCAGTGTGTAAACATTTCCACCTTCATCTTTCTCCAAGGGAAACTCATCATTATCCCTGGTTACAGGTGACAAAATGGGCTCAGCTGTAGGAGGGGCCTCTGCTTGTAGGACTCCCTGCACCAGGTTTTCATTCTTTTTTATTTTATTTTGAGATGGAGTCATGCTCTGTTGCCAGGCTGGAGTGTAGTGGCGCAATCTCAGCTAACTGCAACCTCCATCTTCCAGGTTCCAGGTTCAAGTGATTCTCCTGCCTCAGCCTCGAGTAGCTGGGATTACAGGCATGTGCCACCACACCCAGCTAATTTTTTTTAATTTTTAGAAGAGACAGGGTTTCACCATGTTGGCCAGGATGGTCTGGATCTCCTGACCGTGTGATCTGCCCATCTTGGTCTCCCGGAGTGCTGGGATTACAGATGTGAGCCACCACGCCCAGCCTGGGTTCTCATTGTTTACACACACACAGCTCTCTGATTAGTGCCAGCAGCCACGAGTAATCCAGTCAGCAAGTGCATGGCTGGGGCATCCAGGTTGAAGCCCAAGTGGCCAAACCACAGCCCACACCCACGTCTGCACCAGCCTCTCCTGCAGCCCATGCTCTCAACAGCAGGCAGTTGTCTTTCTGCAGGACCCCACCCCTCCGCCTTCCCTGCCTTCCTTGTCAGGCCCTCCTGCTCCAGGCGCCATCTACCTGCCAGGGTGGTCTCAGGAAGAATGGACTGTCCCTGTCTCATGAAGGGAGGCCAGTTTAACAGATGAAGCTGCCAAGGACACTGCCTCTTCCCAGCAAGGATATTCCAGGCACCAATGGAACAGGTTGGGGAGGAGAGCTTGGGACCAAGGACTCCCATGAGCCCTCAGAAGCCACCATAGAGGTGAGGATTGAATTGTAATCCCATCGGCTCGTGACCTTAGGCAAGCCTCAGCCCTCTCAGAGCCTCCGTTTCCCCTCTGCATAATGGGAGTAGTGATCTGTTCCCCTGTGATACAGGAAGGAATCTCCCCAATGCTGAAAGTGGGGTGTTGGTCTCAATCATAACTGGTTCCAGGCACCTATCCACACACATTCACACAGAGACAACACTCCTAGGTACACGTTTACATTCACACACACAGATTTGCATAAACACAGAGATTTGCACAAACACAGGGCACAGGTACACACAGCTACTGGGACATACACCCCAGGGACACATATGGGGACTTGCACACTCAAAGACAAATCTGCACGCAGGACGCACAAACATACACACTCTCCTCTATCCCTCCAGGGCTGCTGCCTGTTCACTCTGCCTCAGCACACAGAGTGGCCGGGGCCACCTGCCTTCCTCTCTCTCTGTCTGGAAAATCAGAGGGGTGATCACTGCCTGAAAGAGCCTCACATGCAGGGGCTCGGCGGGACAGCATTCACCCAGAGAGGCGAAGGCACCAAAGCAGTGGGGCTTGACAGGTAGGGTGGGCTTCATTGTGGCTGACCTGCCCACAGCATGTGAACATCCAGGCCTCCAGCCTTGACCCCTGCCTTGGCTCAGCCCAGTGTGGCATTTGCCTACAGTCCTCCCCTTGGGAAAGGGACCACCCCTGAGGCCCGCCTATGAGTTGAGTGTGGTTTTGGTGGAGGAAGAGATGGGAAGCCTCATCTGGGAAGTGGCTGCCCATGGCTTTCAGAGGCCTGGGTGGGTGGCTGACCTCATGGCCAGATGGCTCTAGACACCTCTCTGGGCCTCACTTTTACTTCCACCATTCAGCACAGCCAGGCTGACCACAGACCTGGGTGGGGAAGCTGGTCACGCCCTGTCACCATGCCTGGAGTTCCACCATTGGTGCTGCAGTCCTCAGTAGTCCCAGGAGAGCCCAGCAGCTGAGCAAACACAGTGAGGCTGACATCGCCCATCCCAGAACATTCCCCAAGGCCTGCGTTTGCCTGCCAGAAAGATCCCAAGTCTGTGAGGGGGACACACAGCACATGTCATCAAGATGTCAGCCACATGGCCACGTGCCCCTCCTCCTGGCCCTCCGCTCTGCTCTGGAATGGTAACATCTCCAGGCTCAGCTCAGGCCCTCTCCCTGGCGGGTTGTTCTCCCTGAGCTCCAGATCCAATACCCAGTTGTCCTGAGATGTGTCCCCCATGGGTCCTCTGAGAATCCACTCTGCACAGTAGCCAGAGCAATCTTTCAAAAACCAAATCAAATCGTTCTGCAGCAGCTGCCATATCTCATAGAATAAAGCTCATCACCAAGGCTTGCAAGGCTCTGCCCATAAAGAATGGAAGGGAGACGGGAGGTGGCTGTCAGTGAAGTGCCCGAGCTCTTCAAGTCCAGGGTGTGGCGACAACTCCAGCTTGTCTGGTTTCCTGTGAGATCATCCTTTCACCCGTCGGTAATGTGCTTCCTGCCCAGTTTTCTCTCTCTCTCAATCTGCAGGAAAAGCCTGTAGGAAATGACAGAGGGGCAGGTGTGGTCCAGAATGAGTTGGGGTGTGGGCCATGTTTGGTGGGGCAGTAGATATGGATCCTGCTCTGAATATCCCAGGAGGAACAGGCCATGGGGTGGGCAGAATCACGCAGCGAGTCTTCCAGAAGCAATTGTGAATCTCCATCTTCTCCCACCTGCCACCTGGGTTGTCAGGTAAAACACAGGATACCCAGTGTTTTAAGTTGGAATTTCAGAAAATAATAATAATAATAATTCTTTTATTTATTTATTTTGAGATGGAGTCTCTCGCTGTCACCAGGCTGGAGTGCAGTGACACGACCTTGGCTCACTGCAACCTCCACCTCCTTATTCAAGTGATTCTCTTGCCTCAGCCTACGGGTGCGTGCCACCACACCCAGCTAATTTTTGTATTTTAGTAGAGATGGGGTTTCACCATGTTGGTCAGGCTGGTCTTGAACTCCTGACCTCATCATCCACCCACCTTAGCCTCCCAAAGTGCTAGGATTACAGGAATGAGCCACCGTACCCAGTCTCAAATAATTCTTCAGTTATAGTGTGTCCCAAGTAATGCATGCATCCTGTATTTTTGTTTTCTAAGTCTGGCAAACCCACCTGGATGACCACATCTGCCTGCTCTGTGGCCTCTCAGCTTCCCCCACACCCACACAGTGGGATCCTGTGAAAACCCAAGTCACTTCACCTCCAGCCACTCAGGCCCTGGGTGATCTGGGCCTTACACGTTCTCTGACCTCATCTCATCCCCACAGAGATGTGCTGGTAAAGCGGCATGTCCCATTCTAAGAAAAAACAAAATATAAAAAATTAAAGCCCTGACTGTAGCATCGGTCAATTCCCTTGGTGTAAATATTCCTTCCATGGCTGACTGCAAGCTACCAGCATGACACTGCCAAATGCGGGGTTGGGAAGAGGCGCACAGTTGTCTCAGTGTAGGCAGGCTCCAGACTGCCCCTCCCTCCACCCGGGGCCTTTGCACTGACTGTGCTGTCTGCCTGGATGTGCACATCCCCAGATCCCTGCATGACTCAACCCTTCACTTCTTTCTGGATTTTGCTCCAGTGTCTTCTCCTGAGAGGAGAATTACTTGTCTAGGATAATCCTATATACCCCCCATCCCTGGCTAGTCCTTTGCTGGGCTTCATGTTTTTTCTTCATAGGACTTGTCAAAAACAAAAAAGGAATGTCATCCACTCCACTACTTCTCAGAGTGGGAAAATGTGGCTCCTGGAAACAAGCATCCTAGAACTGTGAGAGGTGCTTAGACTCAGCTACGTCTAATGTAAAAAACCGAACTCATGGTTCTGGGTTTATGTGTGTATTTTTTGCTTTGTTTGTTTGTTTTTGAGACAGAGTCTGGCTCTGTCGCCAGGTACCAGGCTGGAGTGCAGTGGCATGATCTCAACTTGCTGCAACCTCTGCCTCCCAGGTTCAAGCAATTCTCCTGCCTCAGCCTCCCGAGTAGCTGGGACTACAGGTGTGCGCCACCACACCCAGCTAATATTTGAATTTTTTAGTAGAGACAGGGTTTCACCATGTTGGCCAGGATGGTCTCAATCTCTTGACCTCGTGATCCTCCCACCTCGGCCTCCCAAAGTGCTGGGATTACAGGCATGAGCCACCATGCCACGCCTCTTTTATTTTTCTTAGAGACAGGGTCTTGCTATTTGCCGAGGCTGGTCTTGAACTCCTGGGCTCAAATGATCCTCCTGTGATCCTCCAAATGATCCCGGCCCCTCAAAGTGCTAGGATTACAGGCATGAGCCACTGTGCCTGGCCCCAAAATGAAGGATTTTAAAAGACCTACAGTGTTTTTCAGAATTTGTCCAGCAATTCAATTTGTCTGTCTGCAAGTAAACTGGGCTTGAATCATGTCATCATCTTCACTGTGGAGACCGCTGCTGATACTTAGTGAGCCCCACTAACAGGGACCTTGTGATTGTTTTCCCAGAGGCCGAGACTCAGAGAGGATAAACAAATAGCCCAAGGTCACACAGCCAGTGAGAGGGGTAGTTTGGATTGGAACTCAGCTCTGTCTGCTGGCTAACTCCTAGAAGAAGCTGCTCCAAGCACTTTCTCCTGTGAGCGTCAGGGGTAAAGGGGGCATAAATAGCCCCTGAGTCAGGGTTTTAGAGGCCAGGGATTCCTGCAGCCCTTCGAATGACTTAACGGGAGAGTGAGATAGTCCAGGCAATGCCGTCTTCTCATTAATGAAGATCTTGAGGCCCAGAATATGGCAGTGACTGGCCTGTGCTCACACTGCAAGTTGGGGAAAGACTGAAGATGGAAACCCGGGGCCCTGCATCTCACCTTGGGCTCTGCCTCAGACCCAGACCGGGTGATTGTTATACTGCAGAAGACTGGATCTGAGTCATCTCTCCCCATCTCAGACCCTAGGCCCTCCCTGTGTCTGGAACCCAAGGGCCCAGCTCCACCCACAAGGCCCCAGGGCCCCCCCAGAGTGCTCCCCAAAGACCTCCACTTATGCAGTCATTCAGCAAGCCTTTAGTGAATGATCCCAGTGCACCCACCATCCACTGCATATGCTGGGAGTTTGGGGGAACCAAGTCAGACTAGTAGTGTGGAGGGGCTGTGACCGAGGGGCTGAGGAAGGCCAGAGAGAGCCCCTAGACTAAGTCGGGGATCAGGAAAAAAGACATTCCGGAGGAAGGGGCATTTATCTGGCTCTTGAAGTTCAGCAAGCTTCCAGGAAGAAAGGGTAGGAAGGACTTTCTAGCACAAAGGAACAGCATTTGCAAAGACAAGGTGATATACAGAATGCCCCTGAATTGTACACATAAACAGTGGTTGATTTTAGGTTACGTGAACTTCCCCTCAAAAATGTTGAGAACACAACATTGTTGAGAACATCGTGTGCAGGTGCAGAGACCAAAGCAGCTCCATCTCAGAGGCAAATCCACCATGCTGACTTCTGATTGACCCAGTTCCAGAAAAGCCTCTAAGATTTCTACTTTACCAACTGTCCCTGGCATCCCTTCTGAAGCACGTATGCCCTTTCCCTGTGGTGTACATGCCGTGGCTCCGGGGGTAACTGTGCAGAGATCTACCTGTCTTGTGACCACCTGAGACATGGCTTCTGTTTGCATTTCTCTATTAAATGCTTCTTTCTGCTGGGTGCGGTGGCTCACGCCTGTAATCCCGGCACTTTGGGAGGCCGAGGCAGGTGGGTCGCCTGAAGTCAGCAAGAGTTCAAGACCAGCCTGGTCAACATGGTGAAACCCTGTCTCTTCTAAAAATACAAAAATTAGCTGGGCATGGTAGCGGGCACCTGTAATCCCAGCTACTTGGGAGGCTGAGGCAGGGGAATTGCTTGAACCCAGGAGGCAGAAGCTGCAGTGAGCCAAGATCGCGCCATTGCACTCCAGCCTGGGTAACAAAGAGCAAAAACTCCATCTCAAAACAAACAAACAAAAAAAAAATGCTTCCTTCTGAGAAACTGGATTTGTTTGCCTCTTTCTTTGACCTCTCAACCCCTGTAGCTTCTGGTTTGCATAGACCTGCTCACTGTAGGACCGAAGCCATACAGTACTTCAAGGAAGAGGGGAAGGGTGAGATGGGGCCCAAGGAATCGTCAGGGACAGGCCACAAAGGGTACTGACTTGGCACCATTTATGAAATTTAGCCGAGCCTGGCCTGTGCCAGGCATTTCATGCAACAGGCATTCCAAATGTGGTCCCTCCGCTGAAGAGCCAAGAGTCAAAGACAGAAGAAAAAACCTGTAAGGCCTTTGAGAGGAATGATTTGGGTGGGTTTGAGCAACAGGAACTTGGGGCCAGCACAGAGAAGGCAACAGGCAGCAAGGGTCTCAGTCTTCAGCCTGCAGGGAGGAGCTCCAAGCAGGTCTCGAACTCCTGACCTCAGGTGACTGGCCCACCTCAGCCTCCCAAAGTGCTGGGATTACAGGCATGAGCCACCACGCCTGGCACATTTTTTAATTAAAAAAGAGAATAGCTACAAATGTGTGGAACTTTGACACATATGATCACATTTAATCCTCACAACTCTCTGGGTGTGATGAGGAAACTGGGACTCCAAGAGGTTAAGGGACTTCTCCGCAGTCACATCGGACTCCACTGCAGGCAGTCTCATTTTGAGCTGGAGGAACGAGGGCTGGAAGCTGGGCTGCAGAGGTCGCAGGGGCTGGATGCATGGTAGATCAGCAAGGCCCTGGGACCTGGAGCTGAGCTCTGAGGCCTCAACCCCCTAAAGTGCAGGGCCTAGGCCGGCTGAGGCCTCCAGCAAGAAGGGCCTAGACAAATGGCTTTGGCAGGCCAGCATCTTTTTGGACACCTGGTACCGCTGTGAGGGGGCTCTCATCTCTGAAGAGTGGGTGCTCACAGGTACCAACTGCATTGACAGGTTGCATGGCCAGGAGGGGTGGTGAGGAGAAGCTCCCAGAGGGTGTCCCCCGACCCTCTCCACCTCTCCAGCCTCTCCACCTCCCCTTTGCCTCCTCCCTCCACAACTGACCTTGGTCCCACTTGAGTCTGACCTTGGGTCCAGGTCGACCGCAGATGGACTCTTGTGAGATCAAGTCTCCATGGCGAGCTACTCTTGTCCTCAGCAGGGCCCGAGGGCTCTGGGTTTGGTGGCCTGGCCCTGGCATGACTGGCAAGGCCTCCGTTACTCACCAGCGCTGTGCAGCCTGTCCCCCTGGCCACCCAATCCCACTGTTTCCTCTTCCTGAGACAGCTCTGCTGGGCCCAGGGGTTTGAACCCAATTTCAGTAAGGGTGGGAGCAGAAGCCTGGGATGTTTGAGAGATTTGGGGAGGCAGGTGGCCAGGGTGGAGCTTGGGACCCTGCAGGGGCTCTGGCCAGCTGCCCGGCTGCACCATGGCCACAGGCATGCAGGGGAGAGGGCTGGCACTGACACCTGGTCTTCTGGAGCCGGCTTCCAGCCCCACCGCTGCCCAATGACTGACAGCCCCACCTGCCCAGTGCACTGGAAGCTTCCCTGAGGGAGCTGTGTGGGAGTGCACCAGAGGACAGAGTTGTCCTAAGAGTGACGCGGGAGTGCGAAACGTCTAGGAGGACAGAGCCCAGGAAGGCATCCAGGGGCAGGGAGACTTGGCACAGGCAAGGAAGCTTGGCAATATATGGTAACAACCAACATGGCTGGGCTGGTGCAGGCCTGCTGGATGCCAGTCGGGCTGAGGGTCTGCCCCACCCCGTGCTGCAGAGTATCCTGCTGAGACCACTGCACGTCAGCATCTGCAGAGATGACTTTCTCCCCCAACCTGACTGTCTGGACCTGAAGGACAGCCTGCCCAATGGCTTCCAGTGCACCAGGCTCTCCACTGGGCCCTCTGAACTGGTGATAAGGATTCCAGCAGGCCCTGTGCAAGCCCCTGAGACCCCCTCCCCTGAAGTCCCTTCTAATGCCACTAGACTTGTTAAAGTTAGGCCTGGTCATCCTCCCATCCTATCCTGGAGTCTCCCATTCCCCAGTAACCAATGATCAGGCTTATTTGCAACCCTGAAGGCCACCCTAGAACTTCCTACCCCTTGGAGAGACTCCCCCATTATGTCCTATGGAATGTGGGGCAGCCTTTGGTATAGCCAGGTCTTAAAGCTACTGGGAGCCCTCAGTTACTCAATAATTACAAGCATTTTGCTGAAAACTAACTTTTGTGTAATACTGAGCCTCAAAGGCCAAAGGGAGGAAAGAATTGGGTGAGACTGATAGAATGTGTGGGAGAAAACACTTTCACTAGAAAGAGGGTTGGAGGAAGAGAGCATGACTCCCCCATCCAAGAGGGGAAATGGGCCCTGTCTTGGGCTCTGGGTGCAGCACTTGGGCCCCCAGCCCACCTGCCCCCAGTCCTCCCACTCTCTCCCCTAGCTGGTCTTGTCAGATGTGTGAACCTGGTTACCCACTGCCCGCATCCCCTGATCAAATATCTTTTGCTCACCAGGCAGGGGGTGGTTCAGTGGGTGCTGGCTGGGCTGAGACTGCTTCTTTTCTCCCTCATGCAGGTGGCTGATGGGACCCCCCCCTAGTCTGCTCCCAAGCTGGCAGCTGGCTGCTGCAGGGTGTGATGACCTGGGGTCCCTGCTTGGAGCCTTGCTTCCCGGGAGTCTACACATCTGTGAATTTCTTCATTTCCTGGATCCAAGATAACGTCTCCAACGTCTCATTTGACACCTCTGCCAACAGACGCTCTTGGGACTGGCCCAAAATAAGACAGAGGGAGTGAAGGTTGTTAGCCTCTGGAGTCCTGCCTGGGTTCGAATCCTGACTTAGCTACTTACCTGCCTTTCCCATCGGAATCTGTTTCCTCCTCCGTAAAATGGAGATGTCTTCAATTACTCATTTATTCAAGAAGTTAGTAGTTACCAAGTGCTTACTATGTGACAGGCCACAAAGATACAAGACTGACTCATGGAGCTGGCAGTCTAGTGAGGGAGGCAAGCACTGGGCTGAATTATGACCGGAATAAATGTGCAAACACAAACAACAGGAGCTCTAAGAGAACCGGATCCACGTGTTCATGGAGGCTGTGACCTATTCGGGGCGTCCAGAGGGTAATTGACATTTGAACACGGTCTTGACAGACTCGTCGAGTCTGGCTAGCAACTCCCCTGAGCGCCCGCTGACTGGGGTGCCAGGCGCCGCCCACTGCAGGCCTCCGTTTCCCCAGCTTCGCACTGAAGAGCAATGACTTGGATGTAAGAATTCTTGAGGTCCCTCCCAAGTTTGTTTAATAAACTTTTTCGAGGGCGAGGGTCTCCAAGCCACAAAGGCGCATCCCCTTCACCTGTTTGGACCTTGCTTGACCCCAGGTGGGGAGCCTCTTCCAGCGTTAACCCGGGCAGCTATAGTCACGCCGCCCGCGCTCCGCAGCGCCTCCCTCCGCATCCTCGCAGTGAGGCCACAGCGACATCTAGTGGCTAAAGGTATTTTTAACACGGCTTGCCGCTGGCGTGAATCAGGGGCGCTGCTCGCCAGAACTCAGCCCTCTTCCGCCTCCGCGCTTCGTGGGGAGCCGGGCAGAGTCAGAGTGAACACGCACTCCCTGCGGTGCAATTGTGTCGCGCGATAGGACTGGCTTTTCCCGACAGCTCAGCGCTACCGCCCCAGTTTTCTTGGTCCTAGCTGCCCCAAGGATAGGTAGGACCTCGGTGTGGAGCCCCGCCCCTCGTTCCCCGCCCCGCACAAGCCCCGCCCCCTTACGACGGCGCTTGCTAACTGCGCCTGCGCGTGCTACACACACACACACACACACACACACACACACACACACACACTCTCACTCTCTCTCTCTCTCTCTCTCTCTTCCGCCTCCTCCCCTTCCCTCCTTCCCCTCCCCCCCTCCCCCTTCCCCCCCTCCCTCCTCCTCTCTCTCTCGCTCTCGCTCGCTCGCGGCTTTCGCGAAGGTGTCGCTACCAAGAAACGTGTCCCGCGCGCCACGCCGTCTGTTTCTAGGGCAACGCCGGCGTTTCTTAGCAACCGCGCGCGGCCTAGGTGGGTTCCTTCGGAACCCCCAACCTTGCCATGACGACCGCGAGTCCTAGCGTCTTTCTACTGATGGTCAACGGGCAGGTGGAGAGCGCCCAGGTGAGCGGCCGTGGACCCCGTCGGGGCCCGCCCCCCAGCGTCCCCCGGGGCCCTTCCCGCAACCCCGCGGGCTGCCCTGTGGCCCCCAGAGAGCCACGTCATTCCTCTGAGCCTCTCCGTTAGGCGGGGGCGGGAAGCCAGCATTGGAGGACTTGGCGCGAGGTTTTCGGGATCCTAAGTTCCGATGTGCAGGTGTAGAAGCAGACCTCGAGATGTTGAGCTAGTACTGAGGTCACACTCGGCCAAGCCTGTGGCCCCTCGCACGGATCATGCCCTCTAGGTTGAGTCACTGGCAGGAGCCTCCCAGGGTGTAACGCGAGGAGCCGAGGCTCGGCCGAGTTTCCGGTATTTGCTCCGTGTCGGGTGCCCAGCTACTGCCCCGCGCTCTAAATCCCCAGATCTTTGAACTCGGGTTGGAATCCAACCATCCAACGATGGTAGTGGCCTGGAATGCCCCAGGGAAGGTGTGCCTGTCAGGCCGGAGGGACAGGAAGCTACTCTCCATCCCCCTACACTTTAGAGGAACCGTTTATTGTAAACAAAAACCAACGCTCACCAAGTCCTCAATATGTGCCAAAGTCAGTGCTCAGCACTGCTTATTCCATCCTTACAACCTTGCCAGATAGGCACTACTAACACCCCCATTTCACAGCCGGGGAAACAGCCAAAGCAACTGGCCTGTCTGGGAATTGAACCCACGCCTGTGTGACCTCAAAGCTTCGCTACACTGTCCTTCCAGGTCGTTGGAGATGGTGTTTATTATATTATTGTGAGGTGTGACTGAGACGGTTTGGGTAAGGCTCTGATAGGGCCTGATGCTTTGTTGGTGTCTCCTGCCTTCCTGTTTCATCAGGAATACTGCTCCACCCTCCCATCCTGTCCGCCTCTGCCTTAGCCTAGTGCCTAAGACCACCTTTCTCCCCTCTCTTGTTCTATCCCATTAGGGGCTCTTGGCTGGGCTGAGTCACATGTGTCTGTGCTCTCAGCATCAACCCCCCCCACACACACACACTCACACTCACACTTCCTCCCTGCTCTGCTCTCAGCACCTCCCTCTTTTCAGGGCCTCAGCTCCAGCCTTGCATATGCCCTGTGCCTGATGGCTTCCTAGGTTCTCAGACCTTTCACTTCAGCACCATTCCCTTACACTAGCAGTCCTCAGCCTTTTTGGCACCAGGGTCTGGTTTCGTGGAAGACAGTTTTCCCACGGACAGGAGGTGGCAAGGGATGTTTTGGGGATGATTTGGGGACATTACCTTTATTGTACACTTTATTTCTATTATTATTACATTGTAAAGTATAATGAAATAATTATACAACTCACCGTAATGTAGAATCAGTGGGAGCCCTGAGCTTGTTTTCCTGCAACTAGATGGTCCCATCTGGGGGTGATGCGGTGACAGTGACAGATCATCAGGCATTAGGTTCTCATAAGGAGCGCGCAAACTGAATCCTTCATATGCAGTTCACAATAGGGTTCGTGCTCCTATGAGAATCTAATGCCGCCACTGCTCAGACAGGAGGCAGAGCTCCAATGGGGAACTGCTGTAAATAAAGATGAAGCTTTGCCCACTTGCCTGCTGCTCATCTCCTGTTGTGTGGACCCATTCCTAACGGGCCACGGACTGGTACCGGTTGGGGACCCCTGCCTTAGACCTCATCCGTGCCCAGCCCTGTGCTGGGCAATGGGGACACAGAAAGGCATGAAATCTGTTCTCTGCTTATAGTCTAGAGGAATTGACAGACTTAGGCACAGGCAATCATTGCTTTTATGGAGGGAAGCACAGGGCTACAGGAGCCAAGAGGAGACCTTAAACCAACCTGAGAGTGAGGGCAGCCTCCCTGAAGGGTAAGTTTTGAAGTATGAGCAGAAGTTTTCCAGATGAAGAAATAGAAAGGACAGATCAGACAGAAGGCAGAGCCTGAGCAAAAGCCTGGGACTCTCCGTGGACTCCCGCATCTTGGCCCTGAGCCTCTCCTCTGAACGCCAGGTCCACATCCCCAGCTGGCTCTTAGACTCAATCCCAGGTGCCTCGCGTTCAAAATTCCTCTTGGCTGCCCTTGTCTAGCAAACGCATTGGCCTCAGCATGAATACCGGTTGACAGACTGTGCTTTTTTCAGTTTCCAGAGTATGATGACCTCTACTGCAAGTACTGCTTTGTATACGGCCAGGACTGGGCCCCCACAGCGGTAAGCTGGACTCTTGGGCCTCCCTTACTTACCACCTTCATGACTTTTGGGGTTTCTGAAGGTGTCATACCCTTCCCCTCCCCATTCAGAACCAGTCAAGAGGTAGACACTGAATTCAGGGGACCCACACATGAGTTTTCCTGGTAAGCTGGAGCAGAGGACACAGCCACGGTTGGACCCCCTGATCCAGCCCCCAAGACCACTCACACGCCCTACCCTGTGAGCTTGCCCAGGGCAGCAAAGAGCAGCGCCTGCAGCAGGGGGCTGGCCCTGGTGAGCCAGCCTGGCTGTGGCTGAGCTGTGGACACTCTGGCCAGTCTGCTCACCATCTGGCCTCTCCTTAGCCAGTGGGGAGGACACATGTTTCTGTTGGGGGGTGTCAGATAATAAGGAGTGCATATTCTAGAATGTCAGTGAGCCAGAAGGGCGGTGGGGAGACCAAGCCAGGAAGTGACAGGGATGAGCCATGAGAGAGGGAGGCCGCGATCTCACTAAGGCCACCAGGGAGGGCCTTGCCAAGAAAGTAACTTTTAAGTAAAGACCTGAAGGAAGTGAGGGAACAAGCCATGGAGAAACCTGTGATACGTGTGCGGGCAGAAAGCAGAGAGTACAAAGGCCCTGGGACAGGAGCATGCTCGGCATGTTTGAGGACCAGCAAGGAGGCCGTGTGGCCCCTGGAGAACGAGCCAGCAGGAAAGCAGCTGGAGATGGAGCAGGGAGGCACCAGGGTGGATCTTATAGGACTTAGAAGGTCAGAGTAAGGACTGTGACCTTTACTCAAAGGGATTGGGGTCCCCGTGGAGAGCTTTCAGCAGACAAGAAAGCGATCTGACTTGTGTTTTTAGAAGATTCCCTGGTTTCTATGACAAGGATAGACTTCAGGAAAGGGCAAGAGCAGGCAGCACAGTTGGCTTTGACAGCAATGCAATGAGAGAGGAGGGCAGCAGCGGTATGGTGGCGGGAGGGCTGGACTGCAAGTACACCCTGAAGATAAAGCCGCTGGGCTCTTCTGGTGGATGTGGGGTGTGAGAGAAGGAGGAGCTAGAATTCACAGCAGGGCTTTTAGCCTGAGCACTGAGAAGTAGGGAGCTGCCTTTCAGTGAGAAGAGCAGATTGGGGAGCGCTACCTGGAGCTCAGCCTGGTGTGGGTTAAGGTTGAGGCGCCCACTGGAGGAGGTGCTGATCCACAGTACAGAGGCAAGGACCAGGATGGAGACATAAATTTGGGAACCTTTGACATCTAGAGCACATCGAAAGCCATGAGACAGATGAGATCACCAAGTACAGGTAGAGGAGCTGGCCAAAGATGCAGCCTTAGGACGGCACACTGAGAAGGAACCAGCAAGAGCCACCAAGCAGGGCCACCCTGTGCAGTGGAGAGACCCAGAAGCCAACGGAAGACAGTGTATCAAGGAGGAAGCAACTGTATCAGGCGCTGCTGATGGCTCAAGTAACACAAGGACGGAGAAATGACTGTTTTGCATCTGGCAATGCTGATCATGGACATTGTTGGAGAAAACCCTTTGGTAGAGTGCTGGAGCCAGCAGTCACATTGGAGTGGGGTCACAGAAGAATAGCAGGGGAGGGGCCCGTGCAATGGCTCATGCCTGTAATCCCAGCACTTTGGGAGGCTGAGGAGGCAGATCATGAGGTCAGGAGTTTGAGACCAGCCTGACCAACATGGAGAAACACCATCTCTACTAAAAATACAAAAATTAGCTGGGCATGGCGTGCCTGTAATCCCAGCTACTCAGGAGGCTGAGGCAGAAGAATCACTTGAACCTGGGAGTGAGCCGAGATCACTTCACTGCCTTCCAGTCTGAGGCGACAGAGTGAGACTCTGTTTAAAAAGAAAAAAGAATGGTAGGGGAGAAATTGGATCTGGTGAGTGAGGCAGCTCTTGGAAGCAGTTTTGCTGTAACGGAAGCAGAGAATGGGTTGGTGGGTGGAAGAGGCAGCAGAGTTGAAAAAGGACTGTGTGATGGACAAAATACATCTATGTGCTTACCAATGGGGATGCTCGGATGCGGGTGGGGATGCAGGGGAGTGCAAATACTGCTGGACCATTTCCTTCCGTGTAGCAAGAGCTTGGGAACAGATCCCAGTGCCCTTGTGCCTGGGAGAGTGGCTGGCCTCCCAGGGTTGTCACACACACTACCACATTAAAGTACCACACTTAAGAGGTATTCCATCATCTCTTAGTCCCCTTTGTTTGAAATCTAGTGTCTTGGGAGAAGATAGCTGAGAAAACAGCCTTCCCAGCTGCCTGCTGAAGGTAAGGGAGGAGCCACAGCAGCTTGACTCTGATCTGACTCTAGCTGTCTCTGTCATTGTCCCCACAGGGTCTGGAAGAGGGGATCTCACAGATCACATCTAAGAGCCA